ACTACGTGGGAAAGCATTTTGCAAATGGTACAGAGGTATGTAAATACAAACTATCACTCCTTGACCTTCCCTCCTAAATACAATTTGAGAATAGCAATGATACTGACCCCACTCGACACTTATGTTAACAGTCAAAGATCATGGGAATTTCCTGGGTCTTTTAAAGAACGAAATTCACCTGCAAAAGGATAACTTTAATTCATTTTGGGGGGTTCAAACTGAGCATTTTCCTTTGCCATTTTAATGGCTCAGAAATTACTTTTCATAAATAATTCAATGATTTCCCATGGCTCTTAAGATAAAAATCAACCTTGAAAGAACACATGGGATCTTGTGAGGTTTGTTTTCTTGTGCCTCAGAGGCCTCCTATCCCTTCCCTTTTACTTTCATCTGGTATGACAGCCACACTGGTATTTAATACCCAGAAATGACCATGTTCCTGCACTGAGCTCTGAAGCAGCAAATGTTGCTTTTTCTGCCTAGAAAATTGTCTTGCCCCTTATCTAGTTCATGCCTCTTCATCCTTGAAGACATAGATGCCAGGTTGCTCACCCAGAAACATACTCATTGGCCTTCAAATGGCCTAATGTGATCTCTTCTAGAATACCTGCTGCTTCTTTCACAGCTCCTACTAGAGTTGGCAATAATACAACTCTCCATGTAAACTCCTAGAGGGCAAAGTCCCAGTACCAAGCTTAATACCTAGTACATGTTAGAATCTTGAAAAATATTTGTAGATTGAATGAAGGCTTCACAATGTTCGTTAGTTAAATGGTAACTTCTAGGTTTGTTAGTTAAATGATAACTTCTATGAATTTTTTCAAAGTAATATTGCTTAACTGTCAAAAATAAGATTTCTATCAGAAATTGAAATCCTATATAATATGACAGAGTTTTGCTGATCAGGTCAAAATTATGACTTAAAATTATCAGTGTAAACTTTTTCCTTATGCTTTACTTTTTTGTGACCTTTGCTTTCTGAAATGAATTAGAGGTTTGTGTGTAAGAATGCAAATAGCAGAAAGTGAGGAAGTAGATGGGGAGTTTTGACAGACTGCTTTGGTTCAACACACCTCTGATGCCCGTGATTCTACAACGGGGTGTGAGGGCAGCATATGCCCTACCTGTAACTAAACCAGTGGGAATTCTGGTCATTATTATTATTACCAGGATTATTATTATTATTTTAGCTGAATCATTACTCCCTTAGTTGAAGTATTTGATTTTTAAATTTTTTGGTGGTGCTGGGGACTGAGCTCAGGGCACTGTACATGCTAGGGAAGCACTCTACCACTGAGGTACATCTCCTTCCTGCCTTTACTTACTTGTTGAGATGAAAATTTAAAGATTCTTCCTTCCGAGCTCTGGCTACCATACCCTCTGTCACCACTTCTAGGCCTCTGACTTAATAACCATAAAATGTTTTCTAATGAGGTGTTAGTCAAGAGCACAATCCAGGAGCACCCACACCAACTTCACAATCAGAATTGTGTGGCCTACAAGTTATGAAGTCTTCTCTCTGGGTACAAAGAATACTTCCTTGTAAGATTATAAAAGTATTTCAGTATATTATCTTGCATACTCCATTTCAAAATTGTACAACATGAGACTGTTCAACTTATAAAACAGCATGCAAATATATCTAGGACTGAGAAAAGCTAAAGAAGTTTTCTTCCTTGTGATATACTGGAAATTTTATGGTGTTTTAGGTTTGCTTGTTTGGGTCAGTGTTGAAACTCATGCCCTGTCTCTTAAACCAAGGGCTAAGGGGAAACTCCTGGAAGACTAACCCACTCCTGCCATGTGGGCTGCTCTCCTATAGGGGATGTAGCTCCTTATCTCCCTAGTGGTTTAAATGACTGGTGAGGGCATGTTGGTGAGGGTCTGAAACACATCTTCCTCCAGAGGCGGAAGTACAACACAGTCTGCAGGACATATGGCTCCTCAAAGATTAACAGGAATATGAGCCTCTACAGGGTCCAAGGACCCTGGATGATAAGAGCGTTGGAAAGGGCACCTCTCCTGGGCTTTGAAGTATCTCTGACTCCAAAGGTTTGAGGAAATTTAGAGTGAATGAGGACTCCCAAAATACAGTTTGGCAGGCAAGATGCCTATAATAAAGAATTCTCTAGTCATACATAAGCAAAATGTCAAAAATCTTCAAACCAATGCAGGGGAGATTAGGAATGCTTGAGAAACTTACAACATTTATTTCGTAAATTAACAAGACCAGGAATATCTCCTGAAGCTGTACAGACCTAGCAGGTTTTCAATATTCATCAAATGAGCAGTGCTGATGGAAAGCACGGCCCTGGGTAGATTGGGGCCACTACAAATGCAGGTGTCCAGGGTAAGCAGCCTCTGGGCTGCTCAGCCATTCTTTGTCTGTCCCTGGCCAAATCCTTTAATTGTTTCCACTGCTACTGCTCTCCCCAGACCCCTCCATCTTTTCTTTTCTCTTAGCAGATCATTCATTCCACACTTCACAAATAAGCTCCAGGCCACTGAGAACCAATTCACTTAATTTCCCAGCCCCATCTCTTCACATGGCTCTATCTATACCTGTAGTCATCCTTATCTCTTTAGTCTGTCAGAGATGCAGAGTGGCTCTTCTGGTTAAGTCAAATTATTCTGTCTGTGTCTTGGATCTGTCTCTCTGAGCATCTTCTCACTCATATTTCCTGCTCTCTTTGCCTGGTTCCTCCCCTATAGCAGGTAAAGAACTTCTTCCATACTGATCTCATTTTCTTGAGAGAACAACTCAAACTTTCTCCTCCATTCCCTCTGAACTTGCACTTTCTCATCATTTTCTTGTTCTACCCCATAACCACTCTCCTTCTCCTACCCAGTCTCTTCTCCCCCTACTCAGCTCCTTTCCCCTCATCACTTTTGCTGCTATACATGTGCAGGTTAGCGTTTCTCCAGGTTATACCTGGGACCCTGTTGGCCTCCTTCATATGATTTTTGGTAACCTCTTCGTATTTAATTGTTCACTAAGTCATGCATTGATTCAGTTGATATTGATTAAAATCCTCTGGTGTTGACAAGTACTCTGCTACAGGTTGAGGATAAGTAAGGTATGTATCTAACCATTGGGGATTTTGATGTGATTAGGACATAATTTAAAGAAATAAGTGAATTAAGCTGGGTGTGGTGTCACATGTCTGGAGGCAGAGGCAGGTGAATTGCGAGTTTGATGTTAGCCCAAGGAAAGTTTGCAAGACCCTATTTCAAAAATAAAATACAAAAAATAAAAACAACAAACAAAATACAAACAAAAGGGTGGGAGCACGGCTCAAGTGGTACAGTGCTTGTCTATCATGAGGTCCTGGGCTCAATCCCAGAAAGAAAAGAAAGTGCAATTAAAGGTACAAATATGATATGAGCAAACAGAGGGCCCAGAGCAGAAGGGAGGACACTGGATGGGGGATGAGGCTACATCTTGAGAAACAGTGTGATGGAGGAAGAGAAGAGTCAAGAGATTCCAAGAAAAGGAGTAGCATGTGTGGCACAGGGCCTCTGTGCATGGGTGTTGGAGCCAGACCGATCTGGATAAAATCCTAGGCCCTTCTCTTACAATGCATGGGAATTAGAGTTGGAGGTCTCATTTCCCACTTCTGTAACAAGCCCTAACTTGCATGGCTGTTGTAAAGCTTAGAGAAGAGTTGAGAGTGCTCAACACAATGCCTGGCACAGAGTGATTCTTAAATGATAACCATTATTATTACTGTAAATATACTTTACAACCTTGATATGCGTTTTATAACCATTACAATAGAACCATTTCCATATGCTTATTATGAATACTATATGAACTCATAAAAGTGAAATAACTTTTAAAATATATAGCACAATATTCTTCAGCCATAAAAGGAATGGTGTTCTGATAATGCTATAACATGAGTGAGCCTTTAAGACAATATGTGAAGTGAAATAAACAAGATACAAAAGGACAAACAGCTTTTGAGTTCCCTTATGCTCAGAGTAAACAAATTATAGACACAGAAGGCAGAATAGAGGTTAGCAGGAATTGGGTAAGGGGAGAATGGGTACAGAGTTTCTGTTTGGAATACTGAAAAAGTTTTAGAAACAGATAGTATTTGTTATAGTTTAGATATAAAATGGCTCCAAAGGCTCATGCTTTGAAGGTTTGGCTTCCAGCTGGAGGTGCTATTGAGAGGTGATTGGATCAGGAGGGCACTAACTTCATCAATGGGTAATCCACTGCTGACTTCATAGCTGAAAGGGCTATCAGAAGGCAGGGCCTACTACCAGGAAGCAGGTCAGTGGGATGTGCTTGGTTAGTCTCTAGCCCCTTTCTCTCTGCTTCTTGGCTGCCATGAGGTGAGCAGCTTTCCTCAGCTATACTCTTTCTTATGCTGTTTCTGCCTTGCCTATGGCAATGGAGACAGCTGACCATGGACTGAAATCTCTGAGACTATGAGCCAAAATAAATCTTTTTTACTTACAAACAGTAAATTTTAAGTGCAGCAGCAAAGAAATGGTAGGTTCTTGGGGCATTTTCATCAAAAGTAATACTAGTAACATTCAGAGTAAAACAAACAAATCAGGATGTTTTTATCTGTTTAGGATTTTAAAACTATACTTGCACAGTTCTATGAATTACTAGGCAAACTTAGAAAAAGGGATTAATCTAAGGTTGATATTATAACCATCCTAAAACCTATACAACTGGACTACTTTCTATTTAAAGAAGTATAAAAATTTTATTTCATTCTTGACTTGTATTAGGTCTGAGATGGCCTGATTTTTTACCAAGTTCTGCCTGCTGGTGAGTAGTTGCATAGCATACTTTAGAGATATACACTTACGTTTAAGAATTTATAGCTCGATGAGGATGCAAAAATGGATAAACAGGTGCCTTCACACAGAGACAAGTTCAGCATTTAGAAAACTGTATTTAAAATAAACAATCAACAAGACCTTAGAAAAGGGAATTTGCCTTTGGGCCTTGGCAGGAACACATGTGGCTCACTGACCTGTGTTCCCTGATTATTGATGTCGATGGCATCACTCCACTCAGTTGTGATTTCTTCCAGCAATTCTACTTTTAAAAGGAGGCTAGGAAGTAAGTCTTTGGTCTTACAGTCTGGATAACTAGAAATCTGATGATATAGCTCGTGATGAACTGAACTCTCAGAAGGAACTTTTCTGCAGTAAACCTCAAACTTTGGAATATCTGAAATTTCAAAGAGGCATATGCAAAATAAGCTTCTCAAGAAGGAATGAATAATACTTTTGCTTAAATATTGTCTATAGGATCACAGGTATTTACTAAATCAAAAATGTAAATTTTACATTATTTACATTATAGTTAGTGCTATCAACTATACCTTTGATATTTTCCTTTATAAGCAGTGTTACTGGACATCTGTTGTGGAAAATTACTCGAGGACTAGGGTCTTCTGAGAGAGTTAAATAAGTCACTCCACAGTGTTCTTGATATGTCAGTGCTATAGCCCTAGAACAGAATCAAATCAAACGAACTCAAGGAAAAGTTTTAGAAAAAGGAGTCAATTCCCTCATTTGTTGGCTGTCATACATGAACTATAGGTTTATTGATTTTTAATGCAATAATAGTAACATGTATTTATCATAAACCATTAAAAATTTTGAAAATTATTTTAAAGATAAAAACCATAACTGTACCACCCAGAGAGAACAATAGCTAACCTCATACTAACTTTGCCTGCTGTTTTTTTCCTTTATGCATATTGCCCTAAACTCTTCAGAAAGGGCACCTTCTTCATTCCCAAAAGTGCCCAGTAAGTTTTGGAAAAGGAGTAGTTGACCTGCCTTTAGAAGGACTACTAGAGAATTTGACTACTTGCTCTTTTTGTCATTCTAAATGTAGGTAGACTCATGATGCTTATTGTCAATTTTCACAAAACACTTTACAGGATCTACATTTTGGCAAAGCTGTATTATATTACTTGGAGTTATACAGTTGCATAGGCATAGGAAGAAAAATTCTTTATGAAGTCTAAATTACATGTAGTGATTGTCAAAGTTAACAAAAGAAATTAGGTAATCTGCTAAATGTGGCTCTTCGTTTTATGCTGGCTAAAAGGGGTCAATGATGCAGTAAGGAATTTCCTATTTGTCATCTATCCTATTTGTAATCTGAGTCTTTCCCAGAGATTGCATTTTTTTGAACTGCCAAAGTGAAGTATCCATCAGCCTTTGGTGAAAACACATTAATAAGTGCATATCACATGTGTACTTGGGATTGAGGAGAGGAAAGAGATGAGAAAATGGGACACTAGGTTCTCAGAGTGAAGTCCTTGGATGAATAGGAAAGTTTTCTCAGTTAATTTTTTTTTTCTTTTTTTGTGCTGGGATCGAACCCAGGGCCTCACACATACTAGGCAAGTGCTCTACCAATGAGCTACATCCTAGCCCTCTCAGCTCAATTTTGAAAGAGCTGGGCAAGCCAACCTCAGACAATTTTTTTTGATGGCCACAAAAGTTGGGCACTAGGACTAGAATATGGTACTTTTAGTCTATTTAGTTTTATGTTTATAAATAATATTAAATTACATTATGATTCTTAGAATTTTAAACCCAATTCCCAATGAAGTTTTTTTCAAATTTTGACTCTCCATTTAAAAATGCTTTGTTTTATAGACCTAAGTTCACATACCTTTGAAGAATGCTTCCTTAAACTCAAAACACTGATAACATTATCTAACAGCAGAATATAAGGGCAATTAATCCTCTATAGGGTTAGGAATGAAAAATGCTCACAAAATCAGAGTGTTTGTGAAAGAAGAAAGGATGTGTGTAGGAAATAGGGTCTTCTCATTTAAGGTTATCTTATGTTAAGGTGTCATCTTTTTAAAAAAGTACAATTAAAGATCTGTATACATCAAGAAACTTAGGATGGCTTAAACATCAGAGTCTATAAATTTATGGTCCTGAGAAGAAGGCACCTCTCATAAGGTCCCAATATGTTTTCTTTTGTAGTTGTTACATGTACCATAAGTAAGTTATTCCTGACAGCTGTAGAAAGGACATATTGCATACAAAACAATCTCAAAATAGAAGTCCAGTCTGAACAATTACATGTCTTTGGCTTGATTCTGTGGCTGTTATTTGCATAATAGGTAATCAGTAATTGGAGCAACTTGCATACAGGAACAACGACAGCAGAATCTTCTTTGGCTTGAGTGTATCTAAGTTATTATCTTTGTAAATGACTCTTTATGAAAGCTTCCATTTTGAAGTAAAAGTAAAATACTGGAAAATAAAAAAGGTTTTCCAACTTGACTTTCTCATGTTTTAGACTATTTCTCATCATTTTATAGAGGGTAAAAGCTCTTGAAAGAGGGGCTGGCGGAGTGGCTCAAGTGATAAAAGTACCTGCCTAGAAAGCATGAAGCCCTGAGTTCAAACCCCATTATCACCAAGAAAAAAAAAAAAACACTCCTAAAAGAAGGTGATTACTTTCATTATGATGTATTGCTGCTTCTATAGTACAAACACTGTCATTTCTCACTAGCATATGGTACATAAGGGAAAAATCTCATAAGCAGTACGCTGAGACAATACATTTGTGGTCATAACATTTGACCAAATGAATACAATGTCTAGAAGTTATTAAAGATAAAAGTAAAACCTAGCATTATATATGTAGAGCAGTGAAACTATTCTCCTGTCTCGCTTGGCATCTTGCAACACTGACAAGCAAAGAAGGGCATGCACATTTGTGTAAAATACCTGGTACAGAATCCATTTTCCCTGAAGTTCCCAAAGGGCACTGCTATACTCTGTCTGGGAAACTCTTGTCTAACTATAGCTGGCAGACTCCAGCACTGTGAGCTGTCAGCACCTGCAGCAGGAGAAAAGCCCAGCAATATCTGTTTCTGAAGCAGGGATACATCCAACACTGATGGCCCAATGTCAGGCATGAAGTCCCAGCAGGGAAGGGAGCTGGATTTCATAGCAGACTGTTCTCCACCTGGGCAAATGCTGAAAGTAGCACTGTCTGGGACGTGAAAATACTGAAAAAAAGAAAAGACAATGCAGAGGAGCACATTTACTACAGCAAAGTGGTGAAGTTAAGTTTTTAGAGCATACCTTGTAAGAAGACATAACTATGTATTCTCAGAACATGAACAACTCTAGGAAATGGGAATATCAGGAACTCTGTTTCCATGAGAATGCCCTAATGAGACAATTAAAGCAGTGAACTCAGTGTTTGCTTTCTTCCCTCCCTCCCTCCCTCTCTCTCTTTTCTTTCTTTTTTTCCCCCCCTCCCTCCCTCCCTTCTTTATTAGTACTGGGGATTGAACCCAGGTTTCACTTTACCACTTGAGCCATACCGTCAGGATCTGCATTTCTGGGCATAATGAAATATGTTCAACTGGGGTGACTGGAAGGTATTACAAATTTCTCATTGTCCCCCAGATATTTGCAAAAATCCTGTTGCCACAAGGGTAGAAATACTCTATGCTGAGGAGAAAGCATCTCACACAGGTATGCATTGAAGGTGTGGCACATGGGAGATGACAGGAAAAGAGATCTGAATGAGATTCAGAATATGGAACTGGGGGCTCAGAAGACAAATTTTGTTTAAGACTCACCCTGAGGGAGAAGCAAACTAATCTCAACCCTCAGATGGAACTCTACATGGTTTCTGGTATTAGAGTCCCTGAATTTTAGACTTGGGATAATTTCTTTGAATCTCTTTTCACAGCTGAGGGAGCTGCTTTCCAGTGAACCAACCTTCACTTTGTGATGTGCCCAACACCACAAAGCCAGTAAGTGGCAATGCCTAGCCAGATGTCAGGTTTTCTGTTTCTGGGTTTGGGGTTTCCTCACTGTCCCACAGTGTCCCTGAGAGGTTAGGGACTACCATGTTTCTCAGAAAATCCTACATCCACTTGAAGCAGGGTCAGTGTTGAAAAGGAGACATTCCTTGGCTGTAGGGAGGAGCCCAGCTTCCCCTTCTCTCTAGGAAGCTGAGGCAAATCAGGAATTCTGAGTGATGCTGATGCTGCAGTTGGTGCTGACTATTGTCATTTGTGAGTGACTATCCTTTTTATTTATGTGATCTTAATCCTCTCAAACCTGTAGGGAATGCAAGCTTCTGTACATTTTACAAATGAGCAAACGTTAGCGTGAAAAGTGCTGGCCAGTGTCTCAGGAAGCCCTGGGGTGAGGAGAAGCAGGAGAATTATTAGGAAGCATGTTGATTCCCTGTCCAGTCCTCACCTACAAGGCACAGCCTGATGACCTCTATTTCCCATCTGGGCTATCAATGGGGGTACTTATATTTTTATCAATACTTCAGTGGCCTAGGATAAAAATTCTATTGTTCTGACATTTTTGTAAATACCACAACATATTGTAATAAGTGTAAGACTTTGATCCTATGTGATTATTCTATTGTAATTTTTAGGAGCTGAAAGTTAGGGGCATAATTATGTGTAGACAAAGGTAAGATAACACTTTCCTATATGACAGTTTCAGTAGCCTGAAATAGTAGTATGCCACTGGCACATCCTATTTTAAGTTTTTTTTTTTTTTAAAATCTCCTTATTCTCTTAAATTATAATTGTTTAATTGTATAATGAGCCAAATCAAGAATCCCTCTGAACATTCTTGGACTTATTTTCTGCCACTGAGATGTTAAGATTACATTTTCACATTACATTTCATGGATACACAGCTCCCAGCTCCCAGACCTGTGGCTCAGTTTAGACCCTTGCCTTCTGCCCACATAGTCCCTCAGGCACTTTGGCTTGCAAGGGAGATGTTCTTCATGCAACTCTGGAGCCAGTTCACTTCTCTGCTGGTGGGGTTTAGGAAAAACTGCTGGAGTCTCTGAGCAGGTGTAGCCCAGGTAGAACTAATTCAGCAGTGTGCCAGGATCTGCTGCCTTGTAGGATTTCTGCTCATTAATTACCTCAGAAGGACTGGCTCTACCATCCATGGTTTTTGTTACAGCATAAGTAAGTGGATTTCTCTTGACCTATATTCAGTGTTAGCTTGTTGTTTGCCCCAGGCTAGAAAAAAGTTGATACTTATTGTTAATTTACAAAAACACAGACAAAACAATCAGGTGATGTATTGCTTACCTCTGTTCCAGAATGGGTACTGGAGACAGATAACCATGGTTTATAAAATATTTGATATGGTGTGTTATTGATTATTGTTGTCTTGTCTTCAATCTGAATAATCTGTATGCCTTGCTGTATCATGGAGGAAATACAGAACTGACACAACTACAAGAAAATTGGGGAAAGAAAACAATAATATAAGACATATGCAAATCTCTCAAGTTGTTTTATCTCTTGGTTTGCCACTTTACCTTTCTCCAAAGTACTTAACAGCACTCACTTTCAGTTTCAAAAATGTCCTGGCCAATGTAAGGGGTCAGGATTTACTCTACAACAGGGTACTTTAGCAAGCCAGTTCCTTTTGCTGCTATTGTGTAGAGACAGATAAGAGATTTGTTTTCATATGTTTGCAAATTATCTCACACACTGTTTGTAAAGAACTTATATACAAGCAAAGAGCACACATCTTACTCAACAAGAGTCAACTCAACATTCCTCCTCCTCAAGTTCATCCTAGCAGTGATTTTATGGAATGCCTACCATAGACCAAGGAGAGTTCTGAGAACTTTAATAATGATGATAATGAAGAACAAAATGACTGACTCTCATATATTGCAATAGTATGCTTCCTACCTGTTTTAATTACTTTATGCATATAAACTCATAAATTCATCATGATGCCTACATAACGTAATTACTATTATCCCCATTGTATAGAATAGAAAAGCAACTTGCACAAGGTCTCCTTGGGGTTGGAACCCATGTGGCCTGAGTAGCACTGTTCTTCACCAGTATCTGCATCATTTCATTGCCTCACTGCATTACCTGAGGAACATCAACTCTGAGAAGATGTTCCCTGCCTAAAGGTATCCAACTAGTAAGTAGTAATCTCAGGATAGCAGTTCTCAAAGGATGGTCTGGAGACTCACGGGAGATTCTCTGAGCAAGGTGTCCCAAGGTTAAGACTATTTTTATAATATACTAAAGTGCTATTTATCTTTTCACTCTAATTTCCATATGAGTGTACAGATTTTCTCAGAGGCAATATTAACACATGATAACATTCTGATGGCTAATAGAGTATGTTTAAATTCTTATGTTTTAAAATTTTCTGTCTTTATTTATAATCTGATAAAAATTTATAACCCACAGAAACAAAAGGTCTCTGAGGGTCCTCAATAACTTTAAGAGTATAAAGGAGTCCTGAGACTAAAAAGTTTGAGAGCTACTTCTAAAAAGTGATTAGAAGTTAGGAGCTCACACCTATTATGCTAGCTACTCAGGAGGCAGAGATCTGTAGGATTGCAGTTCAAAGCCAGCCCAGGCAAAATAGCTCCACAAGACCCTATGCTCAAAAAAAAAAAAAAAAAAATCCTTCACAAAAAAGGGCTGGTGGAGTGGTTTAAGGTATAGGCGGAGTTCAAACCCCAATACTGCGTGCGTGCGTGCGCACACACACACAGACACAAAAGAGTGATTGGAAAAGAGTTACTACTAAAGGGTGATTGGAAATTAGCATATTTCCCAGCAGCTTGTTCTTTGTTTGCCCACAAACATTTACGCAGTACTTGCTGTGGCCACTTTGTGAAGTGCTAGAGATACTGGTTATTGGCTATATATCATAGCATATTTTCCAGGTTTGGATGGTAGCTCTCAACTAACAACTATTCAACTTTGGGTGATTCATGCTTATAGTTCTTTGCCATTTATACTCGTGTTACAGGACTTTAGCTGGCAGAGTATAAACATGTGTTGCCCAGACAATTCTGAGGAAATGGAAAGCAGCCTTAAAGACTGAAAAAAGACTTCCTTCTTGTTTTGGGGAAGATTATTTTTTTAAAAGTGACCAAATGACCTTAACTTTTCTCAAAAAGGCTCTTCAAAGATGGCCATCAAAAATCTAATTTCTGCTCAGCGAAAGATCACTGTGAATTCTACTCTGTGAAGTACCCCTTCTTTCATTTGGGACAGCTAAAATAATGAAGATAGTAAGTACAGCACGGGACTTCCACATGGTACACTATGATACTATACTTTCATACCTACAATTTAATGTGATTGATTACTACATACTACACCATTCAACTAATTGGTTTTCATAGGCTTTCGATTTATGCTAAAAGACATCCAACATTTGTACTCAGTTAAGTATCTAATTATTCCTTTTGTATATGTATCAAAAACCATGGACACCAGCCCACTGTTGAAGAATAAAATTCCCTCTTGTAACACTGGTTCTATGGAAGAATTTGAATTGGTTCCTATCATTTGTTCAGGATGCCATTTCCAGGAAGATGACCTTTGCTGCAGGAGGCTTTGTCCGTTCACTCAATGCTCACAATGATAACTACTCTACTTCCTAAAGAAGGAGGCCTAGAACAATTTGTGGATATTCTGGAATAAGTTCATTTACATACTATAAATCAAGTGACTGCTGAATGTTCTGAAATAGAGCATTTATTTATTTATTGGGTAAATTATGTGATACAGCTTTTATCACTAGTAAAGAAAAAAGAAACACTATAAGACTGAGGTCTAAGAAGTTAAGAAATCAAGCGTTTTACTGTTATAAATTATTTGGAATGACTAAAACCCAAAAAGTGCTTAAAAAAGAAAAGGAGACTTAACTTTGACCTTACCTTCTGATGTCCTGGGAAAGCACCTAGTCTTATTTCAGCATCAACAAATGCGTCTTCATCCAATGTCACAACTTCACTATTACATCCATCTTTCCACTTTGGAGATGTCAGGTTATGGGCCAGTTTTATTGCTACTGACTTGTGCACAGTGTTTGTATTTGCCCAGTATATTCCAATTTGAAAAGCCTCCTAGAAAAATAATGCTTCAATTATAAAATATTTTTCTTAACTCTGGTATTTTTTACCTTGATCTCTGGGATTTTTAAAATAAAGGCAACCAAATATCCTCACCGCTTTTGTAATGACAACATACATTTTATCTTGGTTTCCAATGTCTTTTATGATTCACACAGAAACTCACATTTATGGGAGGGGGAAAAAGCAAAGTCAAGATGTGACTATCCTGTAAATAGTGAAGGCTTTAAAACTGAAAGGTTTCATATCATTTGACAAGAGAATAATACGCAACACTAGGTCTGCATAGGTCAACATTCCAATTCTATAAGGTAACAGCATCTAATCAGATGCTGTTTCCTTTTAAAAGGAAAAATGCAATTGAATAAAGATGTTTATGAACTGGAACTCAAAAAAAGGACTCTGAAATTATTCTCTGTCAGGAAAATATTTTATTTAGGAGTTCCTTGAACTCTATTTTCTTATAGATTTATATGACTTCTTGAAATGGGTTAGCCTTATGAAGTTAGTTCCCTTGAGACAGAATATGAAGTTTTCCTGTGAAATTTCATTTTCTTGTTTGTTTTTCCATATTGTTAGAGGTAACAACACGATAAATATGACAGGCATCCAAGACCACTTATAAAGGAAAAGGGACCCTGATAAAAATTGTTGAGAAATTCATGATACCTCCCAGGTTTCAGAGAATTTCCACAAGAACTGCAAAGAACATATAAGGAGCAGGTAAGCACATGATACAGCTCAGTATCCTTAATACACTGAGTAGACAAAGCCTGATAGTTGTCAATTATCCTGTACAGCATGGAAATGAGAATGTAACTAGTACAAGTTATCAGATAACTCGAACATGAATACTACTGATGAGAAAAAGAAAAGACATGTGAAAAGTCTCTGAATATCAAAGAACATTCCACGCCCCTTACATATACGCCTACTAGGACTATTGTCCATAACTGATTCACCCTTTTAAGATCATAAATGCAACCTCAGAATAAAATTTAGTTGTTGAGAAAAAAGATTTATGCTAGTTTCAAATGTTAGTACCTGAAAATTAGGAGGAATAATAATTTTGCCAGCAGGAACTTGTAGAACAATCTTCTCTCCTTCAAATAGCCAGAGGTCCCACTTGGACTGATTGATAAGCAAGGCCCATGGTAGAAGTTCTATCAACAAGGTTTTAACATATGGCTTCCAGATTGACAGTTTCACTCGCATTGGGCTATCCCACTGACTCAGCTGTTCATTCCTGTTCCAAATACCACATCCAAGAGACTCAATGAAATATGATGACTTTAGTATTCATGAAATATGTTTAAGGATTCCAGACACACACGCTCCTGTATGAAAGCTCTTTATACCAGATTCATTCAATGCTGAACGTGCAAGCAGGAGAAAGCAACTTTTATGCAATTATGTTCTACATTATAAGTAAAAAAATACATAAAATATAGCTATGTTGAAAATAAAAGGTCAGAATCTGCCAGATACATGTGAATCTTTCTTTCACACCATTTATGGCATCTAATATTTCTGTCAATGGTTAATTCTTAATGTTTTAGAAGTGTGTGCAGAAAAAGATCACTAAAAAAGGTTACCTGTCAGATTCCTTCTTATTATAGGGCCACGTGGGTTCAAGGAACTTTTCTGGCCCATAGAATTCATCAAGGATCTGATTAACTGTGCCTCCAGGGAGTACTTTAGTGGTTATTTGCTTAATGAGGGTTGTTGATATGGGAACAGCACAATCTGATGGATCATATTCTTCTCTAAGAAATTAAAATTAAAAACAAGCATATCAGATTTCTAAAGTGGTCTATAATTTACTAAAACTATAACTACAAATGTACTATATAGACCAATACTTTTTGTGGGACCAAGTCCATTTTTGGTAACCTAGGAATTTATTGACAAAGTTTTGGCATGATCTGGGCCCCGGCTTTTCCTCTTCACTTGCTCACGCTTGGGTGAGATCGCTAGTCATCTCTTCTTCTACTAAAACTTGTGGGTCAATTATATCTAACTTAAATGACATTTTCTGATTATCTATCTATCTATCTATCTATTATTATCTATCTTTCCCTTTCTCTCTCACTCTTTCTCAAAGCCTCACACTTGCTAGGCAAGTCCTCTACCACTTGAGTTACATTCCCTAGTCCTAGTTTCTTTTTCAGACAGGGTCTTGCACTAACTTTGTAGGGGCTGGTCTTGAACCACAATTCTCCTGTCTCCACCTCCTGAGTAGATGGGATTATACATGTAGTACACCATGCTTGGCTTCTCTCTTAGTTATTTCTAGATTTAGTGAAAAAGGCTGAATTGTATCTAAAACTACAGAAGAGAATAAGAGAACACTATGCAGGGAAATTAAATAATAACATTCTTTTAAAATAAGAAATTATATAATAAACGTCATCCATGCTCCCTTACCTCCCAACAGTACCAGTTTTCTTTTCTACTGAATTTCTCTTAGGAAAATATAAAAATGTAATGTACTTTGCTAATACCTTGCTTGAAATGTTAGGTGATGTACAAGGTCAGGTTCTATGTTTTGCAGTGGTTTTTCCAGCCCTTTTCCTGGAATAATCTGTGTTTCGCTCAATCCCAGACTCCTTTTCTCCAAATGTATGATAATGGGGTCTGGAAGATGACTCCTCATGATAAAAAGAGGGCTGAACACAATCTATAAAAATACAAGGACAGAACAACTTTCATATTTGCTTTGTTGCAGTATTCCAGCTGTCTGATGCTGAAACAAACTTGTAATAAATCTCTTCACTGGGTCACTCTGACCTTAATTTATTTCAGAACAGGAGAGGTCAGAGTCGTATACCATATTTCATGATTGGGAAAGCACTCACCATTCGTTGTTGCAGTTGTGAGTTGGGTTCCAAAGTCAAAACTGTGCACCAGACATAAATAATGGAACTGTGTGAAGCTGGCACCTGCACATGAGATAGGAAAGGGTTCTATTAGATACTAAACAGCCTACTAGTTAATCAAAGTAAGACACAGATACAATATCAGTTTGGATGATAAAAAAAGTTTAAAGTTATAGGGAAAAAGCCCCTAAAAAAACCAGCTAAGCAAAACCAGACTTCATAGTAGATGGGGGCCTATTCTTTCCATGAGGATGAAGGGAATTTGCGTAAGAATACAGTGATAGGAGACTAACTGGGGTCAGGAAGAGAGGATTTGTCCTTTATGGGAAGGAAATGATGATGGTGAAGACTGAGGAAGAGATAAAAAGTAACAGATCACGACAAATATCTTCAAGTGTGGAGGTCGCCAGCTTGATTCCCATCCCACCCCCAGCCTTGATGCATCAGGATCTTTTTCGAGGTTTAACTCACCTGCATCTGGGAAGAACAGAGATAGGGAAGTAACCTTTGAGAAGCACCTTCCAAAGTCTTTCTACGTTTTCTCAGATCTCTCCCTTTTTGTTTCTATCACCTTTTAATTACTTTACTAAAAAGCATTTAACAAATTAAGGGTTGAATCAAATACAAAGTATATTGAGGAATTTTCAATTACAAAGCCACTCTCTTCTAGACTATACTACTTCCCATACCTGGATGATGATGCTATACTCAGAGGCTTTGGATTCTAGGCACACGTCTCTTGACCAGTCTTCATCTCCTTTGGCCTTCACACATAACTCTGTCAGTTCACTGTTTTCCAATATATATGAGGGCAATTTCTGTTTGGCTGTGAGGCAGTCAAAATGTTCTCGAACCACAGCTTGTCCATCTTGACCAATGTAATGCTGAACGACTTTTAGTTCTATGCTTTGAGACAAATAACTACAGATGATCTGTCTTCCACAGATAATAATCTAAAAGACAACATATAAACCCATAAGACTCCATCAACTTGGACTTTATTAACTGGAAATATGTAATCTTTCAGACAGATAGGTTGATTTTCATAACAAATGAAGTACTTAGCTTAGTACTAGAAAGATAAAAGAGACTTCAACTTCAAGAAAGAATAAATTTTGCTCTGATCATACTGAGTTTGCAGTATGGTCCAGGGTCCAGCTGGAAATGCTGGTCAGGTGTTTGAGAAAGAAGATGGAGATGGAGATAAAGACTTGTGAAGTAAAGACTGCAAATGTGCACTGACAGAGGATACCTGGAGGAGAAAGTGAACACTCAAACCTAAAAATTGGCCAATACTGTAGGCAGACTTAGGATAAAAAGCCAGAGAAGGGGCCAGAGCAAAAAGGAAAGAAACAGAGTGGAGATGCACTATTAGAAAGTAGTGCTGCTGAAGCCCTATGAGGTGACTTGATCTAAAGGCAGTGCTTAATTCTGTCAAGTAATGTAGAAGTTGAAAAGGATGAGAATTAAAAATAAGCATTTACCTCTGGAAACAGAGGGCAACTGTGATCAATATATTCCTTGAAACTGATTTCCAAGGGTGTACTGTACTCTTATCCACTAAGAGATCTCCGTGTAAACAAATTACGAATAATCCTTGTTTTATTTTATCCAGGTTTTTCATACATTGTAAAACATACAGAACTGTCCATTAAATCTATGGATTATCCAATCTTGCACACCGCTAAGAGTATAGTTCATAGTAGGTATTTAGAAATGCTTCTTAAGTTGCTTAAAATTGAGAATACACTACAAAATGTACTCTCACGCAGTGAATATATATATATATTTTTTGGCGGCACTGGGCTTTGAACTCAGGGCCTCACATTTGCTAGGCAGGTGCTCTTTCTGCTTGAGCCACTACACCATGCAGTGAATGCTTTTAGAAAACAAATCTTAACAAATTTTTCCATAATATGAATATTCGTCATTATTGAGGAAACAGTATTTTTATAAACTAGATTTCTTATTTTTAATATTGTTCCAAATTATAAAATAGTAAGCATGTGATGGTTACTTTTAATGTGTCTGGGTCATTGAGTGCCCAGATGTTTAGTCTAACACAATTATGAATGTGTGTGAGGATGTTTCTAGAAGGCACTACATTTGAATTGGCAGACTGAGTAAAACAGCTTGCCCTCTCCAGTGTCAATGGACATCATCTGAACCAACTGAAGACCTGAATAGAAAAAAAAGTACTGAGTAAGAGGGAGCTCATTTTGCCTGACTGCTTGGGACACTGGTCTTCTGGCCTTTGAACTTAAACTGAAATACTGGCTCTTCTTGGGTCTTGAAGTTTTTGGCTGGCTCTCAGGCCTTCAGACTCAGACTGAAACTACACATTGGCTGTCTAGCTTGCTAACTGCAGATATTGGGACTTCTGTCTCCATAGTCATGTGAATCAATTTATAATCAAGCACTCAGTGGTTCCCCTCTACCATAACCTATACTGGTTCTTTTTCTCTGGAGAACCCTAACACAAAACATTTTCACAATTTAACTCTTTTATTCTCACAGCAACTTTATAAAGTAGGTGTTCCTACAACTCCTTATTGATAAAGATAAAATGTAGGTAAGAGACATTGAGTAACTTACTGGCTGGCACCCAGAAAGAATGGCCCAGAATCTATGTTGGGGATCACTCTGATAATACTAGTCTGTCTCTCATAAAATTAATGCCAACCCACTAAGAAGACTTAGATTTTTTAAGACAGAGAGCAAAGGCTGCCCACCAAAACACAAATGTGGCAGATATCATTGGTTCCCTTCCCAATAGCCTGTTTCTCTTTTACCTTATTGTTAAAAACTCTGATTTGGTAGGTACCAAAAGTTAGCCAAGTACTTAGGGGAGGTGGATACCTCCCTTGGCCCCCAGAAGCTGTACTGTAATTGAAACAAGCTAATCCTGGTAACCCTGATACCCTTTTGCCAATGGTTGGGGAGAACATCGGACTCTATTTTGGCTAATAATATGCAAAGTAAAGAAAGGGTTCTAGAGAAGATTTTATTCCTTGAGAGTCAGGAAGATGATCCGAGGAGAGAAAGCTTTCTTTTTCTGTTATGAAAGGTGTTGAGAGGATGTATGTAGCATCTGCAGCCATCTTGAGATCAGGAGACAAATAGAGGGGGATGGCAGAGAAGCAGATATACTACCAATGTGCTGAGTTAACCAACACTGAACCTGCCTTCTTCCTTCTTACAATGTGAAATAATAAATGTAAAATGGAAATAATGATAGGGTCTGCCTCACTAGCTTGTTATGAATTTTAAAAAGCATACTTTGTAACTTCAGCTGAATGCAGTCAAATCCACACATTTTCTGTCATCAAGACACGGCTACTCTATAATCATGATTTTTAATTATTCATACAAATAAATATGAATAACTATTTTTGAATGAACTATTTTTCATCCAAAACAAGCGTTGCACATTGGTGGACCAAAAACTAAACATCGCTGTTATTTTACCAGGTGTTATTTGAATAGTGGAATTTAGCATTTTCTTAAACATTTATTTTACAAGTATCTATTTGTTTGAATTTCTTTAGAAGGAGCTTCATTTCTTTAGATGGCTTCTCCTAGATACACCAGCCATTACAATCTTTTCAAAGTCAACTGAACTATGAGTCCTAAATAAGTAGGCAAGCCTTTCTTTAGCATATGCAAAGGATTACTAGACACCCATGATAAATCTTACAATTACACAGCAGTACCTAATTTTAGACATTTGATAGCTTTGAGGCAATATTTAACTCTGTTCTTACTCTTGATTTGCCCAGAACTGGCAATATGTGTGCATGGCTCTTGCTTCACAACCTTTGGACTCTAGAAGCTTTAGAAGAAAATTTTGCTGTCTCTCAAGAAACCACAGAGTCTCTGCAACCATCTGGGACTCACTTTGTTAGAGACAAAGATCCTCTTGGTGGGTTTTTATAGTTTCATTTTCAACTAAAAAGCCTGCTAAATAGGCTTTCAAATTTGGTTTAAAAAAAAAAAGAAAGAAAATCCTTGAAAGTGTCCAGCAAGGGAAGGTTGCTTGAGTGAAGGAAAATCCAAAATGGCTATTCACTGGAGGGGTGTTCTTTCATGGTGGCAGGGTTCAGGAGAGCTCTGTCTGCTTTTCTTCAAAGTAGCCTTTATTTTGAAATTTATGGTTAGCATTTCAAGATTAATTTATCAGTTGAAGACAGCTACTTAATTTTTTTTAATGTAGGGGTTCTCTTTAATACACATTTCCAGGTTTCACACTAATTCCCTTCTTTTTCCCAAGCCACAAAGATGTGTACTGAAGATTTCCACATATGATTTTACTTAGCAGGTTTCAGAACTCTTACTAGATCAGTGCCAAGAAGAATAGTGATAGTAAAGAATAATTCCAGAGCACCAGATGCACTGGAAAATGATATCTTAACCATGATTAAAAGTGTATGTATAAAGATACAAATATACACACATTTGAGCTTTTAGAATGATAAAGGTTTCTTTAATGAAGAAATGGGGAAACATGAAAGCAAATATGTGTTCGTGAGCAGTTGCAGAATGTACAAAGTTTCTGGGAAATTTTGCATATGGTAATTTTTCATTTGACTGGAGGAAATGAGAGAAGTATAAGAAAGGCAGAGCACAGACAACAAAACATCAATATTATAAAGAGCTTTAGCAAATTCTTTATCATCTTGGGGCATATTAATGTGGGTAAGGTACATCAGGGATCTGTATACACTCACCTCCCCAAATAAGTCTTGGTAATTAGATAGCTGCAGTTTACTGCACATTTCCAGGTGGAGTAGAAGGAAAGAAGCCAAGACGTGAGGGAGGCAAGAATCCATGAAGCTTTTCTGAAAGCTTGATTCCTTTCTTCCCTCTTAATCTCACCAATTGAGGAAATCCTCTCTTTGCTGCGCTTTAACTAGACCTAATCTGGATGCTAGTTAAACTACCCTAATAAAAAAAATTAAATGTAATTGATCACAATAGCCAAGTTATGGAAACAGCCAAGATGCCCCACTAATGACGAATGGATCAAGAAAATGTGGTATCTATACACAATGGAATTTTATGCAGCCACGAAGAAGAATGAAATATTATCATTCACTGGTAAATGGATGGAATTGGAGAACATCATTCTGAGTGAGGTTAGCCTGGCCCAAAAAACCAAAAATTTTATGTTCTCCCTTATATGCGGACATTAGATCAAGGGCAAACACAACAAGGGGATTGGACTTTGAGCACATGATAAAAGTGAGAGCACACAAGGGAGGGGTGAGGATAGGTAAGACACCTAAAAAATTAGCTAGCATTTGTTGCCCTCAACGCAGAGAAACTAAAGCAGATACCTTAAAAGCAACCGAGGCCAATAGGAGAAGGGGACCAGGAACTAGAGAAAAGGTTAGATCAAAAGGAATTAACCTAGAAGGTAACACACATGCACAGGAAATTAATGTGAGTCAACTCCCTGTATAGCTATCCTTATCTCAACTAGCAAAAACCCTTGTTCCTTCATATTATCGCTTATACTCTCTCTTCAACAAAATTAGAGATAAGGGCAAAATAGTTTCTACCGGGCATCGAGGGGGTGGCGGGGGAAAGGAAGGGAGCGGGGTGGGTAGTAAGGGAGGGGGTAGGGACAGCGGGGAGAAATGACCCAAGCCTTGTATGCACATATGAATAACAAAACAATAAAAATTTAAAAAAAAGATGCTACAATATCACTTGTAAAAAAAAGTGTAGTTGAAATATTTGCTTGTTTGTGTGAGTGAGAAGGGAGGGGAGGGAAAAGGAGAGAAAAAACTTTTTGGCAAAGTTTTTAGAAATGTATTCTTCAAATGACCAACTTTTTGACATTTGGTATACTGCTGCAATGCATAACATCTGTGCGGGATATTATAAGATAGAATAGGATATGGTATATATTGTGTAGATTAATTTATCCCTGAAATTTAACATCATTCCTTGAAAACACATATCCATGCCAGAATGAGGCACTACTGTAAAAACACAAAAAGTCCATATAGTGTCACTTATGCTTGAGAACTTGTCATTATAATAACTATACCCGAAGCTTACTGAGCTATGTCAGTGGGTGAGGAACACTGTAAGCACTTTGTACAAAAATTCACTTAATACTCAGATTAACTTCCTGAGGAAGGCACTACAACTGTCCTCATTTTCTAGATAGAGAAACTGATTCACAAAGATGTTAAATACCTTGCTGAAGAACACACAGGGGATACATACAGATTGCCTATAATCAAAAAATCATTAAAATCATTTCTCCATGGAAGGACCTGCCACTTCACTCACTGGTAAATGTTCTAGCAACCAAATGCAAATGAGTTGAACCAATTGGAAAAATTTAGATGCCCAGGACCAGGATCTCAGTATCACTGGGAACTTGTTAGAAGTGCAAATTATTAGGCTACACCTAAGACCTTGCTGGATCTGAGACTCTGCGGGGTAGGATCCAGCAGTCTATGTTCTGACAAGTCCTCCAGGGGTTCTGATGCACATTGGAGTTTGAGAACCGCTGGCCTAAAGAGAAGGGAACCGAGGGGAAACATGCTGCCCTCATGTTTTTAAAGAGCTGTAATACATAGGGCATTTGTGGAGTCCTCACAAGTTGTTTGCTGCCTGTGTATGTCTCACAATTTTGGAGAATAATAAAAGCTGGTGGAATGGTAAAAGATTTCAGTCCAAATTGTGTAAAGAACTTCCTAATACCTGGTAGAAATCAACTACAGAAAGGGCACATGTAAGGAATGGGCCTCTTGCTGCTTGAACTATTCAAACAGAAGCTGAATGACCATTTCTCAGACATGCTAGTGAATGAGAGGGTGTATGAGGCAATTCTGGAAAACCATGAGTTACAGAATCAGAAAACCAGTATGCATTTATTGGGCAGGTATTTATTGATAGTGGAACCATGTAAGAGAGCTCTGAGGGCAGATGGGAGTCAGTGATGGTTTCATCTCTTAGGACTCTACTTCAAAGCTCATACCAGTAAGCTGGTCCCTCCTCTCATTAATCTTTCAATAAAACTCATTTATCCTACACTTGTGTTTTTGTTTACATTCTATTGTCTCCTTGGAATGCTCTTTCTTCATTCAAATGCTACGTATTTTCCAAAGCTTTGCTCAAGCCACATCTTCTTGTGAAGCCTAGAAATTCCCTTGACACTTAATGTCAGTTGTATATGTGACTGGGATTACATAAATTTGCAATTTAAGAGTAAAGATTGTGTCACATACTTGGTGTCTTCCGTTTTACCCTGTATCACTGTAGGCAATGGATAAACTGATAGGAATGACCAGTTTATTGGGAAAACTCTTCCACACTTCTTTTCTGACTTCTTTGCTACAGTTTTCTTTTCCTTTCTGTTGCCCACAACAATGAGAACACAAGTCCAGTTCCCCTGATTAGGTGCAGACCAAGAATGTACATGCTACAGGCCTACTGTTCCTCTTGCCAGTTGCTTCCTGCTTGTTTCTTGGCATACAGCAATAGATGAGCCCCTGCTGCTTGGTAAGTGGAGCTCTCCCTTTCTTTCCAGGGACTGAGTGTTGTTCCTATCATGTCTCCAGTTCACATAAGCTCTGGGTTGCTTGTTAACAACCCAGATGCAGATGTATATGTTAAAACTCTTATGACAAATCCAGTTATTATGTGTGCAGTGAAGCCGGTTTCAGATTTTAATACTTCCTTTTTTTTCTTTCTACTCTTGTCATATGCTCCACGCTTGAAAAACATACTTTAGAAACCACATTTTCACATCTTAAGAACACACCCAAAAAAGTGTTAGACACTTTTTTTTCCCTTTGCAGCCTTAGAACTTCAAAAACAGCCAAAAGGAAGTTTTATAAAATACATAAAAGTATGTGCTGAGAGCTGAGGTTTTATATGCCAAGAGTTTGACTGCAGTGGGTTTTTACTGCAGTTAATATTAACTCCTAGAAAAAGAAATGCTTGCAGGAGACCTAGGCCTCTCTGTATCATACACTTTCAAACAGACTATTGTCACATGCATGAGAACCAACTCCTGGTTATCCATTGGTGGATTATCTAGAATCCCCACCACCCTTTGGTGCTTATCCTTCTCAGTAAAGGCCCTTTGGCTATTTCACAGCTCATTAGCACCTCCAACAGAAATTAGGTGGTGACAGGGAGAAGAGGTGAAACTAAAATCAGCAAATTTTACTGCTCGTTAGCAGCTCTTGTAAAAGATGTGGCACAATGGGGTTGAGACCATATCATCACTGGTATCATCAACAAGCACTCATTAAACGTTCACAGCCATAGTAGCAGTAGGCATGACTAGGCATAACCACTGTGATTTTTATTATCGATTGTATTTCGTTTAAGTTTGATCTCTAAGATATAAAATATTTAGGAGTTGTGTGGGTCATGAACATAATGAAGCTTACCTGTTTTTGCACTCCACTGAGTTGCTGAACTTTGATGATGAGTGAAGCAGTTCGACCCTTGTACTGAATTGTTCTAATAAACGACCCAGCATGGTCCACACTGAAGGGCTCTGACCAGCGCCAATTGCCCCAACCTTCGATGCAAATGTGTAACAGCTGGAGAGAAAAACAATAATCATCATAATGCCAAATGTGCCAACAAAAATCTAGTCCTATAATGAAAGTCTCGCTGCTGGAAAACCTTTCTATTCATAGTATCTAGCATCTGTTTTCTTTCTAACCTGCATTATTCATTCACTTCCAGCTTATTTCACCAGGCTAAGAATAGCAAATATGCCACATAGAGTCAATATAGTTTTCCAGACCACATTTAAACCTTCTTAAAAATAATGGTCCTATCAAATGGTAAAAGGTCTGCTGAACATTTGAAAAAACGCCATTTCATTCAGTTGGAGGATAAGAAGCTTTAAATGTGAGATCAGAGAGCCCTGACCTGGGCTGAGAAGTTTATTTGTTCTTAAACAGTAGTTAAAGCTAAATTTGGTTTGTGGCATTATTTTTGACTCTAAATTGCTGTTCCTTATTTTTCTTTCAATAAAGAATGAAATACAATTTGAAGATGCAATTCATTTAGCATACTCTCCTTATGAGATTACAATATCAAATTAGAAATACCTCAGGGCTGCCTGGGGTGTGGCTCAAGAGGCAGAGCACCTGCCTAGCAAGCACAAGGCCTCTGGTTCAAACCCCAGTACCACAAAAGAAAAAAAGATTGCTCAAATGAGAAAGACCTTCAACATTTTTGTGTATTTACTGTAATGTTTACCAATTGAATATCTTGACTCATATTTTTATTTATCTATATAGCATTGCTGCTATTGGTAATATCTGGATTTCTTTTGCGGTCATTCAGATATTTACTACTTTGAATACTACCATGGACTGCAGTTAAGGAAATTGGTTTTAACTTCATGTAAATTAAAAACAAACATATTGCTGGATGCCTGGTGGCTCATGGATGTAATCCTAGCTACTCAGGAGGCAGAGATCAGGAGGATCGTGGTTTGAAGCTAGGCCAGGTAAATAAATAGTTTGTGAGACCCTATCTTGAAAAACCCTTCACAAAAATAGGACTGGTAGAGTGATTCAAGGTGAAAGCCCTGTGTTCAAGCACCAGTACCACAAAACAAACATATAAGCAAACAAACAAACAAAACATAGCTGGGAATTGGTAGCTCATGTCTATAATCCTAACTACATGGGAGGCTCAGATCAGGATGATCAAGGTTCTAGGCCGGCCTGGGCAAATAATATGTGAGAACCTCATCTCCAAAATAACCAGAGCAAAATGAACTGGAGGTGTGATTCAAGCAGTAGAGTGTCTTCTTTGGTAGCATGAAGCCCTGAGTTTAAACCCCAGTTCTGTGAAAAAAAAAATCATGATAGTTCTTTAGGATATATATTTAAATGAAAATAAATAGTGTTTTATATATTTATTAAGTATAAGGAAAGAAAACTGTCACTTTAAGAAAAATATTTCTATGACACAAGTGCATAGTTCAATATTTTCCTTTGTATCATATGCAACTTTACAGAACTAACTAAAAGTGAATCTCATGAAACATTCCCTCTTGACTGGATAAAAATTTGAAAACATCCTATAAGAGCTATCATAGCAGATACATGGGTATTGTCAGATAATAAAAGGTCTTGATGGAAGCAGATTAGTTTTTAGTTTCAGCCATAGGATAAGCCCAGGACAACATGCTTCAGTCAAAAAAAATTTCCCAGTCTGCTGGTCAACACAGCATGAATTTTGATGAAAGATCATGGCAGGACTTTTTTTTGTTAAATGTCTAAAGAAGTATTTTAAAAAATCTAACTCATGCTCCTGCATTTAAGATGGCCCCACTCTAGTTCTTCCTCCACATAACAGCCAGTGATCCTATGAAATCAAAAGGCTACTAGTGACATGACTCCTAAAAAGAAGGCTAACAACTGAGATGAAAAAAAAAATCCTGGACAAATACCTTTAGGGAAAATATGGTCTTACACACATAGACCCTACAACATAAAAGCACCTGAGTATCTTTGATGTTTAAACATTAGTTACAGAGAAAAAGAAAGGAAACAATAGCAGTGTTTGGAACCATTTCGGCTTTCTATAGCAGCAACTGGGAATAAGCTCAGGGTACACACAAAACTAAAAGAAACAAGAAAGTTGTTTTCTTTGGAGCGACTGGTAGCTGGAAATGACAAAAAAATAATGAGGTGAGGTACTTAAGGTCAAGCTCAGCTATATTTTTCCTGAACATTCCATAGACTCTAGAGAGAGGTCTAATATATACGCTGTAATTTTAATTGAGGAGAGGTCATATTTGTATATGAATTCAGTTTAAGAAAGTTGACCACTCTGTGCACAGCTTTTAATGACTGAGTGTCACTAAGCAATATACTGTCAGGTTTTGCTTGGCAGCGACTCGTTCTCAGAATGTTGGCACAGATATCTTCTTTGAATTATGAAAATTCAGATACATTTGGATTTAGTTCACACAGAAAAGTTAAGTGGAAGAAAAACATAACACCTTTTCCCATAAACATCGTCAACTGAGTATTTTTAGCGTTTTAGTCTGCTATTAAAAAAAATCTAAGTATCACTGGTAATTTGATGTATAAAATGTATTGGAAAGGAATTACATTCTTTTTTGTTTTTTGTGGTACTGGAGTTTGAACTCAGGGTTTATGCTTGCTGGGCAGGCACTTGAGCCACTACTCCAAGCCCTTTTTGCTTTTTGGAGATAGAGTTGTGCCTTTTGTCCAGGCCAGCATGGATTGTGATCCTCCTATTTTAGGCTTCCTGTTTTAGGACGGGATGGCAGGCATGTGTCATCATATCCATTGAGATGGGGTCTTCAGAACTTTTTTGCCTGTGCTTGTATCAAACTGTAATCCACTCAGTATCAGCATCCTAAGTAATTTAGGACTACAGATGTGAGCCTCCTGTAGGAATTACATTCTTAAGAGGGATATCTATACAAAAGAATCCAGGAGGCCCAGGAGCACAAAAGTCCTTCTTTCCATGGTGTAGTCACAGGCCTGGGAAACCTGTGGCACTGGATTTGGGGCCTGGATGACAATGGTCAGATGACCACAAGTACCATGCCAGAGGTAAGAGGTACTGTTTTTGTTGGATCCACTGACTAAATTTCACTCCTACACATAATGAAAGTCTCCATTTAATAACAAATACTCATATATTGATTTTTTCTTTTCTTTCTTTTTTTCTGGTGGTACTGCATGGGATTAAACTCAGTGCCTTGTGCTTGCCAGACAAGTGCTCTACCACTTGAGCTCATTTCTATGCTGATTTTTGCTTCTAGACATTAGGAAATATAAAGTTAGGCATAAAAATATGAACTTTGTATCACACTACCTAATTTTAATTCATTTTTTTCCTAAAATTGATCCAATATATCTTCATTATTCAGGTCCTATAAGGAAGGCAGTAACATGCTAGGCAGTACAGAGGAAATAAAGAGGCAGAGATGAGTTCTTTGTTATACCAGGAATGTGTGAGAGCAAGAGCAAAAGCCAATAGGAGGCAGCAGGAGAGGTACAGAGCGCTGCACAGTCTTGGGCTGCTGTGATCAGGAAGCTTCATTTCAACTGACAAAGATGACAGCTCAATCCCATGCCAAAGACATGTGAGATGTGAGAGCCAGAAGCCATGTTTAGAGCAAAGTAAGCAGTCTCAACTGGTGGGAGAAAAAGATGGGGGAAAGAGTGGAAGATAATGTCACAGGTAGATCTAGATGGTGGCTGGCACTGATTTATGAAGCTAAGGAATTTGCATTCCATCTGGGAATTTTCAGGTAGCCATGGAAGTCTTTGGTAGAGTGAGCAGTGTGTTGACAGAAGAGTAAGAGTAGCTACAGCGGCAGAAACCCTGCACTAGTCAGGATGAGAGGCAGTCTGGGGAATGGGAGCGCATTGGGTTTGTCCCTTTCTCCTGGAGCCCAACGAATTTTTTGTGTTGTCTTATCAACTTGGAAATTTTCCTTTGCCTCTTGTATGAGTTTCCTTTATTGACTTACTTCCTCCACCACCTTTCCATCAATTTCATTCTTTCTGATGTATTTAACTAGTGTCTAATATTTTCCACTGGGGGCATGCGGGGGAGTCCAATAGGAATCACTGTTGTTGGAATTCAACAGTGTGGCAACTCAAAGGAGGCAATAAGGAAGGGGCATAGTGGCTGCAATTGTTGGGAGGTCCCAAGGGGCTATGTTTTCTTTTTTTCAGCAGATCCCCCCGCAATGCTGTGCTGGCAGCCAAACTAAATTTGTAATTTTACTACTGAAGACTTCAGATGGGAGCATATACAGCTTCAAGTTATTTTTTTTTTCCTATGCAAAGTAAGACTTAAAACAGAATTAGTGTTCAAGGAGTTAGGGATCAGTTCTGAGGACCACCCACTGTCATGTTCAAAGGGAGAATTTCTGAATCGATACATTCAGGAGGAAAGAAAAATAAGATGAAATTTAGGAAAACAGAGTATGCACAGGAAAAGGATAGTTAAGCAAAAATTTAAACTATATCTTAAAATACAGATGATAAAGGCCCCAAATACATTTTTTATGAACTTAGATATTTCATTATTCATTTAAGAACTGTTTTCAGTTTTCCTATCTCAATAACAACAAAGTAAATATTAGACTTCAGACTCATTTGCAGTTTTCTTTTGCTTTTATAAGTTACCCTATAGTGATATATAATTTTCTAAAGAGAAACTAAAAATCTAAACAACTTCAGAAATTTCCTAATGAAGTGTATTCATTATAGAAATTTAGGACTTCTAAAACATTAACATAAAACCCAAGGGAAATAAGCTACTGAATATATATTAATTTATTTATGCATTACAATATGAATATTTAAAAATTTTAGTGGTGATATTTATGCATAAAATAGTATTATTAAATGAATATTAGATCAAAATATTTAGAAACATTTCTTTTTTTTTTTTGTAGTACCAGGGCCTTGGGCTTGGTAGGCAAGTGCTCTACCACTTGAACCACACCCACCAGCCCTTTTTGCTTGGGTTATTTTTTGAGATAGGGTCTTGCTTTATATCCAGGAGGTCCTGGACCACAACT